CCTTGCAATGGTGGTAGTTGAGGCAATGCTGCGTCGTCACCGCCGATGCATGGAAGGGTGCTGGCTGGAACTTCGCATCGTGCCAACAAGGCTTCGGCTTCTTGGAGATGGCTTCTGTCCAAGGCGACTGCTCGTCCACCAGCTGTCGTGAAGTTCCCCTGTTGCTGCGTGAATGCCAGGTGGTGATGTGTAGATATGTCATCCAGCACAGTTTTCATTCTTGTCGGATCGGACTTGCAAAGCAGTTGCACACGAAGAAGCACACCGTTCCTAACCTCTGGTGCCTAAATGGCTTGCGAAACATCTTTTGCAAGTCCCGAGGACCAGGGCATGTGGCACAAGTCCATGACAAACTTGGGCTGAAGCTAAACCTCACACACACACACACAGACACACCAATCAAGCCTCTTCTTCTCGTAGAAGAGAACCTGCAAGGTCCAAAGCTTTGCATCAATGATCATCAATGCTGACTTACATCATTCGAAGCCTGCTTCAGAGCAGAGAGCAACTCTTTCTGACCTTGGGCAACTTGCTGCGTATTTTCTTCGCTCCGCTATGCGCCGCTGAAGGGAAGGTGCCTTCCCTTCCTGTTCGCTAGGTAGCGGGCCCTTCTGAAGCTCAAGCATGCCGACCAGCTCTTTAAGCGTCATTTCACCACCCTTCTCTTGGAGACCTTACAGCAAGGAGAGAATTGTCAGCATGATCCATGCAGCCTTCAGCATCGTCGCTGCAGTAAGGTCTGACAGGCTTTGCACATGCAGATCATGCAGATTTAGGTGTGGAACACTTTACTGCCAGCTGCTGCAGCCGCTCTGCCGCGGACCTGAAGAGCTTCTGATGTCTTTAGGCAGTGTTGCTGGCAAGAGGTTGTTCCTTAGGCAAAGACTGTCCAGCTTCGGTCAGCGTGCTGGCTTGGACAGGTGATGCCTAGTAAGCCGCATCAGGAGAGGTAGCAAGCTGATACGACGGAGAATAGCTTGCTCGGCGTGAAGCAGTTTGCAAGTACATTTTGTCACTAGCGTGCAAGCTCACACATGCACGCGGCCGCAAGACGAACACCTCGCTAAACCTTTGTCTCACTGCTGGATGTTGACACGCCAGAAGGCAACCTTGCAAGCCATCGGGAAACTAGGACATCACACACACATGAATTTGTAACAAGAATCTGCAGCAAACCATGCTGACACAAAAGAAGGTACATTGCAGGTACACTGCATGCCAAGGTCTCAGCCCTCACAGGAACAGCGCTTTCGCCATGATCGCTGCTAGGTACATGTAGATGGTGATAGGACATGTGAACCTGAGTTTTCGGTGTGGCATCAGAGCCACAAAATACAGTGCCATTAAGTTCCTCCAATGAGGGCGGAACGTAGCTGCACTCTTTGAATGCTTTCGACTGGATGATTGAGAGTGTCGGCTCTGAGATTGCGAATACTGCTGACGCTGTTGTAGCTGCTGTCGCTGCTGTCGCTGGATAGCCGCTGCCTGCATGGCCATTGCAACTCGTTGAGTGCCAAGGTAGGCCGGATAGAGCTGCTGGGCTTCATGCCTCAGACAGACGCGCCGTAGATGCTTTCCAGTCTCTTAGCAAGGCAAATTGTTTGGCCTCTGTTGCTCAACTTTGCAAAGTCTGCCAAGGCTCAGAGCAGACAGCGAGGTTGCTTGAGGCATCCTGCAGAAGTGCCAGGTCTCACATAGGCAGTCAATGAGCGGCAGTCTGAGATTTGCTCTTCTGATATCCGCATTATCGCTGCACTTGACTCTACGCTGGCTGTCCCGTGCACGAAGCCGTCCACTTCGCGGGCCGAACTCACCGATTTCACCATGCGCTTGTAATTGTCCTCACTCAGGGAATTTCCACGAGAACGCAAAGGACAGCATCGCGGCATGAGATGCAGAAGAAGCCGAGAACATGTCACGCTGCTTTAAGTATTATATACCCTATAAAACCATTATAGCAGTTTCCATTATCCCAATATTACCCCAATATATCCCCTATATACCCTATTATACTAATGCCAAGCTTCCACCCTAACCCTATAACCCCTATAACCCCAGTAGTTTCCATTTTCTTTTCCATTATCCCTATATAACCCATATATATATATATATACCCTATAACGCCTATATAACCCATTATGCCAAGCTTCCACCATGTAGTGATGGAGCTCGGCGGATCGGTTGTTCAGAGTCTCAGTCCGAGCTTTGAAGAGAGCACTATGTTGTTGCAGCATCGAAGCTTCCCGATTGAAACCTGTCGAAGGGATTTTCACAGGCCCCTCTTCTGAACTTGCGCCTCAAGCTGACAAGAAATGACAACATGTTGCGAGATGGCATGCGTGCATGGAACCTCGAACATGTATGGTGGCCGAGCTCTCCATTCGGTAGATGATCTCAGTGTAGTAGTTGAGGAGCTTCGACCACTTGTCTAGCTCAGGCGGTGGACCCCCAGGGGTACCCGCTGGTCCTTGAGCCCCTCGAGCCCCAACGTTTCCCATCTTGCCTTTCGAGCCAGGGTTGCCGGGGGTGCCCGGTGCGCCACTATGCCCAACTACGGAAGCTCCGGCGGGCCCTTGCGGCCCTGCTGGCCCAGCAGGCCCTGTGGCTCCACGAGGCCCTTCAAACCCAGCCTCGCCATACATGCCTGCAACTACCAAAGCTGGCCTGCCAGAAGCCCCAGAAATGCTCTGGTTTTCATCTATTGGTGCCAACGCATCTTCTAGAATGGGTTCCGGAGTTGATGCGAAGGCCCGCTCATCCACAGCATCAATCGCAGTATCATCAGGGCTCTCCGCTACCTCTAATGTATGCTTCTCATTCACATCCCGAGCTTGGTGCTGCTGAGCAAGAGCCGCAGGCTCAAAGCTTTGCTTTGCGGTGTCTCTTGACACGAGACGCAAATCCTCGCGTCGAAGCAGGTGTGTCTGAAGCCCTTCCTGCGACTTCTCGTGCTCGTGCTGCTCTCGGTGCAGACCTGCAAACCATCATGCCTATTGCGCAAACGCAGGGCCAACTGCAACCTGAACACACCAGAACTTACTGCGTGTGCTTCGGATGATTATGCCAAAACATGTAAGTTTATTGGTGACGTATGGTGATGCCCTTCACACATCGTTATCAAAGACGCAGGCACGTGCGAAGCCAGTCGCCGTGAGCTCAACGGAGCTCGCGGCACATAGTCTTTGGCTGACCAGGAAGCAGGCCTGTCTGACAAACTGTAAAGAAATGACAAGCCCATAAAAGCTTTCTCTGCTACGCCAAGCTTGCGGAACACAATGCCAATCTGCTGCTACTGCTGCCTGTAGGAAACAAAGTACTGGAGCTCTGGATGTGGGCGGCAACGAAACCATCACCGGTCACCGACGCTTGCTATGAAAAGCACATGTGCCTGTTCCAAGCACATGGGCTGAAGGCCTGAGCCTTGATTTTACTGCGGAGGAACTATGTAAATGACGAGTGTATGTAAGTCAGAACCCAATGGCGAATACGGGCGCTTCCCGTGCACGTGAACCCAAGATAACCCAAGTAAGCACTCCCAGAATGACCCAGTTTAGTTTTCAGCCTTCTTTACCTTAACCAAGCTCGGGATTCACGCGCTGCCCAGCCCGAATGGAAGCATCGCAGAGCAATTCAAAGCCTCAAACTAAGAATGTCTGGGGTGTGCACAGAGGCCGGGGGGCTCCAGTCCTTTCCAGGAAAGGAAGAAGCGCACTGCCTACTAGCTGTGACAAGCAGCCTGCATCGGCCTCAATGTCCTCCCCTTCCGCCAGGGTAGGAGAATCATGTGCTTCCTGTTTGAACCCATGCGTTGGCAAACATCTTGCTGCCAAAGGTCGCTGATTAAGACAAATGCATGTCGCTACCACCAAGCTGGTTCAAATGACCTGCTGGAAGAAATTTGTTACTTGAGCTAAGGTGCTGCAGCTGCTTCCAGCGGGTCTGATGAGCCCTTGAGCAGCACCTATGAACACAGCAGCTGCCCTGCGCGCGCTAGTTGACGGACTTCCAACCTCCACCTCCTCTCCGAAGCTGGACCTTGATTCGGATTCCACATGTTGGTTTTCTTGCTACCTGTACCCAGTACTTCGGGGCCGGGGTGGGTGAAGCCACATCAACGTGCCAAAAGCCAGTCACATCAACCAGATCATGGTTCACGTCATGCCTCAAGTATAAGCGTCTCACGTCACAGGTTTTCACATATACCTGAAAACATGCTCTTGGAGCTCGCGAACGGGCAAAACCACGGCCATTTGTATCACACAAAGTGGTTGGGACGGTTAAGATGTGGCAAGATCTTTGAAAAAATGCAAAACCTTTCCCCCAGTGTCATGCTCACCCAATGCGGCTTCACACACGCCGAGGCAACGTGACACCATGGCCTTGCCCCCAAAACATGTGATAATGGACTGCATGAGTTCCTGACACTTGCATCCACACACCAGAAAGCATAAAGTACGTAAGGCATCCACAGGTGTGCACCTTGCTCTTCCTCGTCCTCTGCCACCACTTCATCACCCACCGGCATGCCTTGATCCTGCAGCACTCTGCCACCTCCTACTGGTAGCTGTTCCAACCATTTCCAACCAAACGGGCGCGGCTGAGAGTGCAATTTCCTCGGTCTGGGCCGCTGTCTTTTCCAGCTGATCATCGAAATCGAAACGTTCCTGTTATGACAGAAGGTGAGCGCAGAACAAAACCAGCATAGCCTCACTATGCCATCACAGTTTTCTGGGCCTCCTGATCGTCTGAGAACTGTTCTTCATCGGAGAAGTCCCAGCCAGCCTAAGACTCACACATCCTCTGATGTACTATGGCTTCGTATGCTCGTCGAGTCAGCCTCGCCGCCCTTCTGTCGCTTCAGCTCGTGCAAGCTGCTTGCCACATCTGGCACAGCCTGGCAAGCCCACATCAGTGGCATGTGCAGCTCGCATGATGAGGCATGGCTTGCAACAGTACATTCACTCCATCTTGATGCCTCCTCTTCCGCGCCTTCGCGGTTCACCGTCTCCTGCTTTCGGAGAACCTGCAGGGCAAGAACCCCGACAAAATCTGAGGTGCGAGGTGTTAGTGAGCATCGTCCTTGCGCCGCTTCTCCTCCTGCTTCTTGATACCGGTTTCATCGCTTTGCTGCTTATCGGGGTAGGCAACTTTGCGGGCCTTACTACGCAACCCACAGCGAGCTCGACCAATGAGATTGTTGGTGCGAAGAGATGGATGCTTCTAGCTCGTGAACGCTCCGAGAACGGGACCCCCAAAGGGCGAGCCCGTGACGCCTCCTGCGCTTCTTCTGACGTCTACTACCCTTCTGAACGAAGGGCCTGTGAGCAATGACAGGCGAGGTCCTCCTTACCTCTTTTCTTCAGCATGGCATCCCATCTATCAGAGATTTCCTGCGGCTTGCTTGCTTGGTATATGAGATAGGGGTCCACTGAGAAAAGATCCCAGCTTCCTTGCGTTCGCAGACCTGCCTCTGAATCTCCGCGTTGGCCTCAGTTCTTCTACTTGCTAGCATCTTAGTAAACTGTTTGGCGAAACAGCCACAACCTAGCGATTGGCGCACATATGTTAGACTGAGGCTGGTGCGGTTTCAGGCGGCTGCCTCACACTTTCGGGCAGCAGGAAACCAACTTTGCCACTTTCAGCTGCAAGCTGTCCTCTTCGCTGGAACAATTGCCTTGCCAGCACCTCCAGCAACATGACCCAGAGTTGACTAGGTGAACACTTTGGAACAGAACAGAATGTAGCTGCAAGGCCCCAGGCTAGCCGAGCCAGTTTGCACGAGATCGTACCAGCCTTTCACTGGCCTGCAAATCAATCTCCTTTCCCATGTTCCATCAGAATGCAGACAGGATCCCACGCAGCCTGATCTCTATGCCACCCGGCACTGATGCCAGCACCTGAGCTAATGTAGCCATCAACCACCAGATGCCATTGATCCAAACGTGAATTTGAAACGCACCGTCAGCTCTTGGCCCAGTGAAGGTCTGTCTTAACATCCATTGGCCTGAGACAGCCAGTCGTGCGTGGTGTGCTGCCGCTTTATGGTCTCAGCGACAGGCCTTCCAGAACGAGTGATGCCATGTTCGCTCCATGCAGTGCAGACCCCATCGCCTCCGAGCAAACAAGCTGAAATGCAATATCAATATGACCGTCTCTTGTTGTTGCTGGGTCTATACAAGTATGACCGACTCAGCTCATGGCTGCATCGGACTTTGTGCAGCTCAAGCCGGTCCACGGATTTCTCGTCCTGCCGCAGAGCCCTGCTTGGGGTGCTGATCAACCCCCGGCTGCCTTTGCAAGTATCTGGCAACCATGCCGGCTACCAGTACTGCCACCTGCGGAAGGTCCGAACATGAAGCGGTCCGGCAGGGCCGAAGGAACCGCCCGGGCAACATAGAGCTCCTCTCTTCGAAGAGGGCCTTTCAGCACCTTGCGCACAAGGTTGTTGAGCGAATTCTATGTGCAACTGCGTCAATGGTGCCTGAGGCATCACATAACCCAGCACTTCACATTGCTCCAGCGAACAGATGCCAGGATCTGCTAGACTCTTCGGGGCTTCTAGATGGTCTTATGGCATTTCATAATGCTTCTAGCAGCCTGAGGTGGTCCACAGGCTGCGAGTTGCTGAATTGGGTGGTCTATGATGGGTAGAGATTGTCTTACTTCGGAATATACTGATTGATTGGAGGCATTTGATTGTCACACCATTCTTAATTGTGCTCTGCCAACCTAGCTTGCTTGGGCAAAAACAATGTAGCCACTGCCCAAGGCTCCAAAGCAATCGCAATCCAACAGAACGCGCAGACTTGCCGCTGGCAACGCTCACTATCCTTTTTAAAATGCTGAGGCACATGAGCGCAGCTCTTTGGCTGAAATCCTGGCCCGGCACATCTCCCGGCACGCCTCCCTTCACCCCTGGTGACACCTGGTGGCTCGGTGCTACGTCAGCAGCCCCCTCCCTGCATGAATCTTCGAGCGTAGATTGATGTACGAAAGCTCCGTTCTGTCCACACAAAGCCTTCAGCTTCCAGCTGCTCTAAAATTGGAAGTGCTCCGCCGCCCCAGCAGGAGATGCCAAGGGCAAAGAGCTCCCAACATGATGGCCTCAAGCTTTGAACATCTTTTACACTTTGCAGAAACCAATACAGAGTTGAGATGGTTGGCTACAATCAGAGAAGTGTCAACTGCAGGCCTCAAGCTCGCGCAGCTGCTGCGCCAGACCCTTAAGCAGTTGCTCTGGAGTCTTGGAGCCCGCAAATGGCACAGACTAGGGAAACGCCCCAAGTAAGGACCTAGTTGTATACGCCCGACTGCAATCAGGGCATCAAAAGGCATGGAAAGACGCACAGACCATCGCCGGCTTAGGCCACTTTGTCCAATGACCAAACGGCTACTTGCATCACCCAGCCCTGGGACAAATCTTGCAGGGCAGCTGCTGCCTCGGCCTCAAAGCCGCAGCGGCAGCAGCAACAGCAGAAGAAACATCCGAACATGCATCGACCAAACTCAGCTCTTGGAGCCCTACTGCTGGCGTGCATGTGGCAAACCTGCAAGCAGACGCTGGCAGGTACAGCCAGGAGTAGCCGCGCTCGGACAGGACTCGAAATCTTGACATGTGATTTGGGCAGGCGCTGCACACCGCTGCAGCACTTGCGAACTTGCTGCAGCTTCCACGGTCAAACAACCGGGAGACCTTCGGCGCACGAAATACAACACCCATCTGCAAATGGAGGACACGGCATCTCAGGCCCCCAGATGTTACCTCGAAGCTGCTGTGGGCACACGGCCTGTCGTTTGAGAAAAGCCCCCTAGGCTCAACTCTCAAGCTACCAGCAGGACGGCGCAGAATGACTACAGACAATAGGTTGCGCCAACGCGAATCTACGTGCCCAACATGTGGTTGGCAAAAGTCCTTTCGCAACTTGGGAGCCTGCCTGACAAAGTATTGGGACATACGAGCTTGGATAAAATGTTGATACCATTGCTGCAAAGCGCTGCTTGCGTGAGAGTGATCATTCTTTCTTTCTCTCATTTTCAGATTCTTGGGGTTGGAGGGCCGTTGACAAGATATTGCTTCTGTGAAATCATCCAAGAAGATCCAAGAGGGACTTGAGATCGGGAATCACGAACGTCTGCACTCACT